TGAGTATATTGAAAAAATTAATATTTAATTTTTTTTTCAATCATACTATTCAAACCCCATTTTTCTTGAATATTGCGTTTCAAAAAGTGTTTTTCCATAATTAAATTCTTTTAGAAGAAAATAACATCGAGTACTTTATAGAAGCATTGAAATTTTAATAATACTTTTCGCAATGTTTTGAAATTTTAACATTTGAAAAAGTATTTAAAAAAATATATAAAAAATAGAACTACATTCATAAAATTGAAAAGATATAAAATAACAATTGCTATTAGTAAAACTTCTACAAATACATTTTTTTTTAATTTAGATACTTAATTAAAATTATCACATTCTAATATTTGAACCCTAGAAACATGAACACAATGATAATAAGCAAGCATGTTCTACTCATGCCCGTTTCTCAGCACATTTTCAATCATTGCATGCCAACATCATGATTTTAGAAACCCATGTTTGTGAGTGTATGTGTGTATGAATATGTAAAAGAAAAAATGTTGCCACTTAAGATTCATGACCTAATTTCAAATTAGAATTCAAAATATGTATCGAATCATGTTTCGCCCATGCTATACATCATCATTTTTTCTAAATCCATGTTAATTATAGTGTTATTTTTTAATATATTATTTTGAGAATTATAATCTTGAAAATAAAATAAAATAATTATTATTTTATCTAAAAATAAGAATATTCTAATATAAAGTATTTTATTATAATATTGTTAAGATTGATCGTTATGTGTTTTAGAATTTTAATATGTTATAATTTTGTTTTTAAAATTTATTTTTATAAAATAAAAAATATTTTAAATTATTTTGAATCTTAATTCTTAGAAGAGAATTGTTTTTATGAATTATTAACATGTTTTCTTAATTTTGCTTCAAAATAATTTATATAATTTTTTTAGCTAATAAAAAAAATTGAAAGAGAAAAGTTTTTTTTTAAATACCTTATTTGTTTTTGTTATCAGTTAGAATTAAAAAATTTAAATTGTAGTTATTTTAAGACGAAAATAGTAATAAATATGCATGTACCAAATTTTATACGAAATATTTATAATTACGCAGTTTAGAATGTTGATTACGTTAGTAATAGTATTGTATCTAAATGTTAATAAGAAATATATTTAAAGAAACTATATTTTTTATAATTTTCTCTCTTTAAAAAAATAAGATAATAATTGTTAGTTTCATATGACAACAATAAAGTTATTGAAATAAAATTTGGCTTAAAAATGAATAATAACAACATTCAATAGTTGATTGAATTGTATGTCTTAAACACAAATAGTTAATCACTTATTAGTAAATGATATTTAATATCCAATCTATAATCATGTTGATGTAAAATAAATATTAAAAATATTTAGTTGTAAAAATAGTCATTTATAAATAATTTATCTTCAGAACAAAGATAATAAAAAAGAAATAAAAATATTTATATACAAGATAAAAGAAATATCATTATGTTTAAAAAAATTTATTAAAAATACATAAATAACAATTAAAATTATTATTCACATAATAAAAAAATTAAATTTACAAATTTAATGTTAAAATAATTATAAAAATATATAATAATTTAAAATTAATTACTATATATTTCTTTTAGTAATATTTAGATCTGACGTGTCCAATACTCTATGCATACGTAGTGATTAAGATTCGACCTATTATATAATCTACCTAATAAATCAGACATGTAACTAGTCATTGCATAAAAACACTAGATATAAAATCTAAATATCTATTTTAAATCCATTTTAGAAGAACTCGACCCAAAATCAAGGATAAAAATAAAAAGGATATTAAGATTTAGAGGAACAGACAAATAACAATATTTAAGAAATGATCAAACACTTATCCATAATTTTTTTCTTTCATCCTTACTAACGAAATTTCAAAATCCCATACCTATATTTTTTAAAGGGCTTTTATGAAGTGTGAATTTTGAAAGCATTATAAAATCCAGTTTTTTTTTTTGAAGGTGAGATACTGAAATTATGTAAAACTTGTAATTTAGTGAATAAATAACTACTCAGTACATTTTGGTTGCTAAATAACCACCGAATAATTAACGACAGAAAATTACTATAACTGTGAATTTAGAGGCAAAATTTGAGAAAAATAAGGACAAATGTTTTCAGTAGCTAACTAATTTAAAAATATATTTTTTGTCATTAATATAATTAATAATAATAATAATAATAATAATAATATTTAGCGACTAAAAAATGGTCATTATAAAAATATTTTCAAGATAATTAAGATATAACGGATTATACAATTTTAAAATATGACAAGTTATATAAATAAAAATATCATCTCATAAATCAGCTATAAAAAGTATTATAAATTGAAGATTTTGAAGTAAAGAAGATGAAACCTTTTTGGATAATGAAATTAAGATTTCTCTCAAAACTCTCTTTATATTGCAACTGCATTTGATAAAAGAAATAATTCATCCAATTACTTAAAATTCTAACTCAATTTTAGTTAAACGGAAAAACTTATTATTATTAGTAATATTGATGGTAAGAAATAAACTTATATTAATTATATACAAAATAATATTTTATAAATATTTAACACATTATAAAATACTAATAAATATATAAGATTTTTCTTAAATATATCTTAGATTAGTTTTATTATTTAGATATATTATTTTCTTAGTATAATAAAGAGAATCTTTATAAAATATAAATAAATTAATTATTTAAATAAGAATTATTTGTTTAAATTATAATATATATAACAATATATATATATATATATATATATATATATATATATATATATATATATATATATATATATTACATCACATTATATTTAATATTTTTTTAGAAAACAAATACTATAACCCAAATTTAAAAACAAATATATATGATTATTAACAATATGTCGTGATTCATATCTTTCTTAATTTCACTGACAAATTAGTCTGTTAATATTTAATTTATTTCGCGGGATACAAACATAGTAATCATACTAATACTACGTAATATCTCTTTAGTTACTCACAATTACATATATCTAAGTTCAGTATAAATATCTCTTACTTAAGTCAATTTCACACAGATATATTTCAATTAATTATAAATTTTTCTTAGTACGACTTAACCTCAAATAAACATGTCTCCAAATCAAATAAAGACACCACCACCATGATATCCTATATGTCTTTTTTTTTACTTAAAGTAATATTTTGTTATATAATTCTTGTTGGAGCTAGAATTATACCTCAAAACACCCTGAGGTCTCTTGTTTAACTTAAAAATTATTTATTGAGTAAGAAATTTACTCTTAACTTTCTCTCCCACTTGACTTTAGAAAAATAGTCTAATTTAAAGAAATTTTCCCATTTCAATAACTATAGTATAAATAATTTATACATTAATCATACATTAATGATATATTATAATATCAAAACAATTTAAACATGAATTTCTATTTTCATTTCAACACATAAATATATATATATATATATATATATATATATATATTATTTAAATAATTAATTTCTCTCAAATTTTTGAATCTTAATTTTTTTCGAGCATTTGTTCAATCCAAGGAGATGCAAAATTTGAGCAGTATTCACGTATAATTAAAATAAATTTCGCTAATTGGTTTTCTCTTATTAAAGTTAAAAATAACCAAAATCAAAAGATAGAAGAAATAAAAATCGAGTTCCAATTTTTTGATATAGTAATTTTCCTTTTGTGTGTTCAGTTTTTTTATGTCACTTATACTTTTGAATCTAAAATTCATCTTTTTTTTTATTATATTAAGAAAAAACCTATAAATTTTTATCATAAAAATAATTTTTTTTAAATCATTAAATTTAATTCTTTATTTATATATATTTTTTAAATAATTAAATATATTTCTATATTTTAAAAGAATAAAGTAATTACAAAATTTATTATACCTAACAACTTGTAATTACACAATAATGTAGAATCACTATCTGAACACAGTAATTCCGAAAAAGTAAATCAAAACAAATATAAAAAAAATATACATAAAACAGATATTTTGTTCTCATCCAACACAAATACTTATAAATCATTAATATAATTAATATTAAAGTAAATAAAAACAATCATAAAAAAATAATAAATAAAACAGATATTTTGTTTTCATCGGACGCCGTTCACTAAATTTCTCTGTATTAAAACGACACCCAACAGCGTAGCGATGGCAACGTTAATTAAAAATTATTACACGCACTGGACAAACAAATAAAAATAAATGTGATGATATATTAATTTTTTTTTCATATAATACATTTTAAAAAAAATAATTCTAAAACTTTAAATATTGTATAAAAAACGTTACTTTTTGTTATTATAATTCTGTATATTTTCTCTATATAACTTTTAACTGCTATGATACATTACTTTTACTTTTTCAATTTTTTTAAAAATAATATTTGTCAACATAATAACAAATTTATTATAAGATATATCAAATTACACTTATTAGGTTTTACAAAAAATAAGTTTAATTAAAATGCGGTCATGTTTCCATTAATTTTTAATAAAGATTTTCTCTTTCTAATTTCTTAAATAATATCTAGTTAACAAAATTCTTGATTTTTCTCTATTTTAGATTCATACTAAATATAAACATCAATATGAAGAATTTTCTGACTTTATTGTGATAGTGTAACTCTTTTCACGATATTCAACCCGTTAAAACAAATATGGTACTTAAGTATTTTTAAAAAATCAATTTTAAAATTATCACTTATTTAAAAACATATAAAATTTATTTATTAAAATAAACAGAAACTTGTTTAATAAATAATTAGGCAAACACAGAAGAAAAAGAAAACACAAAAAATTACGTATTTTATTCAACAATACTTATTATAAATATATAAGCACAAACAAAAAGTACCAGTAATCTATCACTAATAATAATTAATCAACAAAACCATAATAATAATAATAATAATAATAATAATTTCACAACAGTAACAGTGAGTGACTATTCAGGGATAGATAGTAGAACCGGCCGCCACGCTCTTCTCAACAGTCGGTGCCGGAGCGACACCGGCCCAGCGGCGGAGACACCACGACGGAGTCTGGAGCCGGTCCGGGATCGGAAACCGACGCCAGTGGAGGCGGGGAGAAAGGTGGCCTGCTCTTGGCGTTTTGTGATCGGCGGTGGAGGCGGCGAGGAGAGGAGCAAATCCTTGAGCTTAGAGCGGACTCTGACGTGGTTGTCGGCGGATTCCGGCGGGTCGTGGTGGAGTAGCATGCGGAGAGTCTTGCGGCGGCGGCGGCGGAGGACGGGGCTGGCGGTGGGGCTGTGGGTGGCGGTGGTGGTGGTGCAGTGGGTGGCTAGGAGCTTGAAACTGCTGTGAAGGGTGGTTGGCATTTGGATTAGATGGGATTTAGAGAGAGAAAGAGATGTTAGAGTGAGAGTGGTTCCATTTTGATAAGGGAAACCAATGAACCATAAAAAATACAAGTTATGCAAGTGGGTGCCATACTTAAAAATTAAATAAACAAAATAAATGTTTATTTCATAAATTTGACTTTGACCTACTGGTGTAAAAAGTTTTTCAAATCTAACTATTTAGATCCAAATGAAATAAAAGAAATTTAGATTTGTTATTTTGTTCGGTGAATTTTTTATTGGATTATTATGCTTCGATTCAGCATTCTTTAGTTACTGTTAAAAGTTAGGTTATTATGTTGATTAAATAGTTTAATTATTGTCATCCAGGATTTTTATAATAAATCATAATTTTATATAAGATTCGAAAAAATCCTATATATTATAAGTTCGAGAAGATATGTTAAATAATCATATTTTTATATATTCATTTTGTTAAATAGAGATCCTTCTTTCATATATTATAATATTAAACAAGACATTTAAAATAACAAAAATATTAATAAAAATTAAAAATAACAAATAATTGAAATAATAAATACAAAATTAAAATAATAATATGAACATTAATTACTTTTTATTAATCATAAATTATCCTTATATTGGAAGGGTGGTAAATGCTCTAGTCCTTGAAAAATTAATTGGACAAGGTTCCTTTGAATCACTTACTTATAACAATGTTTATGTTTAGTCTCTATTTACATAGACAAGACATTAAAAAAGAGACTTTCTTTTAAGAATAAGGACCACACTCTCAATAATTTTTTTAAAATATATTTAAATTCAATAAAATTATGAAAAAAATATAAAAGTGGTTCAGTGGACCAGATTTTTTATTTGATAAGGTTGCAGTCCTATTGTCTTATTCTCACAAACAATAAACTATTGCCAAAATTTAAATAACCTTATTCCACTAAAAAAATAAATTGAAGTTAAAAATTATTATTTGAATATGCATTAGAAAAGAATGATATTTTGTTTGTTTGTTAGGTAAAAAAATAATTATTCAAAGCTTTTAAATTCATTAAGAAATAAATTTAACGTTAATAAATATGACCTTATATTATATAATATCAAAACTTTCAGTAAATATTTGAGGTAATATTATTTTACATGTTGAAGTATTGATTCACGTAGGGCAACAAATTATTATGTTAGATATTCTATTTTTAATTAAATATTTTTTATTATGTTATCTATGTTCTAATTATACCACCAAAACAAAATTTGATGGGTCCTGATAGATGATAGAGAATATATTGAGCTTTTGATAATAAATATCTTTAATCATTAATTTCTCCATTTTGATGAATAAAATTTTGTAATATTAAAGTAGAAAATAAATAAATGAAAAAAAAATAGTTGAAATAAATTATCTTTGTATAAAAAAATATAAATTAAAAAATTGAAGAATAATTCATTTAAAAAATTTAACGAACTAGTTATAAGATGTATTTGTAGACTTTTTATATACTAAGTGTTTGAAATTGAACTTGTATATTCCCCTACTAAAAACAAATCTCAAACATGTCCATGACCATGATAAAGTTGTTGGATAAAAAAATAAAAATACTTAAATAAGTTTAAAAGATAAGATAAAACAATTGAGAATGCGAAATTTTCAAATAATTTTATTAATATTTTAGTTTTAGAATAAATTTAAGTACTTAAAATTAGATTATAATATAAGATGAAAAATTACAATTCATTAAAGATTATAAAAAAATTTGAAAACATATAATTAATATAAAATTAGATTTATTTGATATGTGTAGCAAGATTAATTAGATAAATTATTTAAACTTGATAATATGAAAATTATGTAATAATATATATATATATATATATATATATATATTCTTTATCTTTAAAAAAAATATCAGAAACAAAATAATAAGATATAAATATAATTTATATAAAACATTAATATCATCTTTAACCTAAACTTAAGATATTAAATATTATATATATATATATATATATATATATATATATATATATATATATATATATATATATTTCCTAATGAAACCATCTTATTTGTCAAGTGCAGAGGCCGTTCATTCTAAAACTGCAATAATTTATATCCTATTTGGATTTTTATTTTCTATAGAAAAATTTTAAATGTTATAATTTTTCTTTTTAATTTCAAAATCATATCTTAATTTAGAACACATTTTATTTTAAAAAATGGAATGAAATATTCTATTATTTTTTTTAGAAGAATTTTAAAATTCATTTTATTTTATTTGAATTGTTGGAATGATATAATCATTAATTACTGGTAAATAACTCAAAATAATTAGATTATAATTCAATTTGTGACGATTAAAAAAGTTCATATTTTTCGATATAAACAATTTGTTTTAACAATATTCAATACAATTACTGCACAAATATATGCATATTTCAAAATCAATACCCGAGTCAATTTGGTTCAACCAACATGTGAAACTCATTCAGTGAGTATGAAAATAATGGATTTAAAAAATATCAACAACCTATTTTAGTTAATAATTTATGCTTTTTAAAAATTTATATAAATATTATTTCGTCTATAAAGATAAAGACCATGTCTCACTTAAAATCCATTGTAATAATATTATAAAAATAAATTATTAATCAGGTATTATTTATTTAAAATTTTAATTTATTACAATTTTATTTTTAAAAATATTTAAAAAAATAAAAATTATTTTAAATTTTAAATTTTAATCGAAAATAAGACTTAAACATATAATAATAAATATAAAATTAAACCAATTATTTGATAGTGAAATTTCTATAATAATATAATTTTTTTTAAATTATTTTTTATCGTTATTTAATATTTTATTTATCTTAATTTTTTATCTCCTTTTGTAACTATGCGTTTGTTTATTTTTTTAATGTAATTAATAAAAATTATTATTTCTCATTTTTCTTGAAATAGCCTGTGTCATTTCTTCCTTCTTAAAACATCTTCGATTACATAAATTTTTTCTTTTTTTTCATCTTAAATTAAATTATAAATAATAATAATTATTCTTTTTAATATTTTATTCAAAAATAAATATATAACTGATAATATTATTATAATTAATTTTTATTTTAAAAATATTATCTGTTTTGAAATTTTAATTACTTATAATTTTATTTTTTAAAATAATCTTTAATAAATTAATAAAATAAAATATATATAAAATATACGAGAGAATAATATAATTTTATAAAAATACAATAAAAAAATACTTATACATATGTTATTTATGAATTTTTAAAATAATAACTAAACTTATAATTTTTGTTGCTGTTTTAAAATAAATGTAAAAGTATTATAAAAAATGAAAAAAAATTAGGCAAACGTATCTTGTTTAAAAATTGAATTAGAAAAAACAAAATAAAATAAAATGAGAGATTAAAAAGAAGGGGAATGTAATTTAAGTAGAGTCTGAACATGGATACTGTTTCGACAAGTACGCGTGGAATGAAAGAACTCAGTGAATAATGCGACGGTGGAGCTTCTACATCACTGTCGGTTGTTTCTTCTCTAATTAAATTCACAATTAAATTGTCAATTTAATGTTGCTTTAATGGTTGAAGTGGGTTGAAGTGGGTGAAGAATTATTTTGTGCATATGAAGTGAAAGAAGATTTTTTTTTTTTAATTTATGATTAAAAAAATATTGATTAAGATCATCGAAAACTTTGAGTGTATATGAATAATTTTCATTTAATATAGTTTATTCATTGAAATTAGTATGATTGGTAAAACACAAAAAAGTGTCATTTGAAGTAACGTTACGTGGGAAATTGTGTTCTTGTTGTTGTTCTAAGATCTTACATGCCAACTATAGAGGACACATAGGTGTGCTATATTTTCACAAATTGACATATCTCACCCATTTCGAAATTACGGGAGAATGAAATAAATTAATCTCGACTTTTAAATTAAAACAAAAAAGTTTAAATTAAATCATTTACGATATTTTTAATGTCAATGCTTTTTATATGGATATGTAATTATATTTTGATGTTAATAATAATAATTTATGATATCAAATTATATATAAAAAATATTTTTTTTTAACTTTTTTTTATAAAAAGTGTTATAATTTAAAGAAAATTAGTTATTATGATTCTTTTTAATAAAAATATAAAGAAAAAAAAAACAAGTGAAGATAAAAGTATGTATATTTAAAGAATGAAAAGATAAGAATAAAATAAAATTTAAAATAATATTTTAAAAAAATTAATTATAAAAAATATGGATGTGATTTATGTAACGACCCTATAAATCGTTATTATAATGACGTATTCGCAAAGTAGTAAACAAGTAAATAACATCATCTATTTTACCTTATATTACTGTAATTGTAACATAGATTGAAATTCGATTCACTAACGAACTTCAAAATATAGTAACATAATTTTTTTATATATTATATATGTAAAAGTAGCCCCCTCTAAACTATCTCACTGAACTATCTCTGATGTCTAGTAGTCACATCTCTATCTCTCAACTCCTGATCTGTTCCCACATAAAAGTGATCATCACAGTCCCATCCACATAGAAAAATAGGGGTAAGTATTAAATCATTCGATATAATAAAACAGATATAAAATTAATAATTATATATTATAATCAATTACGAAATTATCAACACACTAAGACACTTTCCGGAAGTATACCCTAACTATGCCCGAACTCAGAGGCTATCATCTGTGGGCACATTGTGATCGGTACCCGCAGTACCATTCTGACCACCCTCCACACAGAGTAGGATTACTGGCGCCCTTCATCACTCATACTGGAGTACCCCTCCGAGCGCACCACCAGTCATCCCCCATCGACTTCTCACCACCTGATCTCGTAGTCTACCTGACCCGACCAATCAGTGAAGTCTGAGACCTCATTCAGAATCCTCCGACATAGTTATTACACTAATGTACTATGTACCACCCCGGGTACCATTCAAACATAACAAAAATTATTCACAT